TTGCTGCTTTGGCTTGAGAGTTGTCCTTGAGCTTCCACCATTGAGCTCCCTACCTTCCGTCATTGCCCTTCTTCTTCCATCGATGGATAAGTTCAAGTCTAGAAGCAGCTGTCTGTGTTGTGGTACGCAATTTTCGCAGAGGATAACTTTCCCTATTTCTCACGTACTTTACCTCATTCTGTCGCACTGCTCAAAAGTATATTTGCAAACTACGAACTATATTAGAAAAATAATGAGGTGGTTGGTCTTCATGATGAAGTACGTGCTCGCTAATGCCAACTCGTGAGCTGTGGCATCCAGGATACGCTCGCCTTCATCGTGCGCCGTATCCATGATTTCCATGACACTTCTGAAGGCCACTTCGCTGCTTTCGTACATGCCCGTTAAAATGTGCTCAAACCAATAGCATTTCTTCTTGTGGTATTGCGCTTATGTAATCGCGAGTTTTTGCCAGAACTCCACTTTCTCAGCTTCTGCGCAACATACGTGCTGTGCGTATGTCGTTACCACTCGAAGCTTCTTTCCTATAACTACTCCTAAACCCATCAGACGGCCGTTTATCCGGTCTGCGCCAGTTAACCTCTCAATGCTTTAATGGCACCGTCCACCCAAATTGTGATTTTGAGTCTTCGCCCTTTTAAACACCTCTTACGCCCTCTGGGTCCGAATCCAGGCCTAAAATTGAGCAGTTTTTGAACAACAACACAACAACAGAACAACTGAAGTCAAAGTGTTAAATTTCGGAGGCCCTCCAGAATGCGCAGACGACGAGCGCTTCTTGCGCAGGCGGTCAGCCGCGGGCCAGCTGCGCGCGCATGGCAGGGCAGACATGCTCTCTCGCAAGATTCGATCGATTTTCTGAGCTTTGCGCCTGTTAGGCGAAGTCGCTAAGTGGGCGGGACGAACGTACCGCTCACTTGCTCGGGAGAAGCCAACGTGGCGAATCCGTTTTCCGGAAGATTTTCGAGGCGATTTTCTCGCTTTGTAAGCAACTTGAGACAGCGCGAGTCGGGCAGTCATACAGTTGAGGACCTCGTAACTATTAGACATCGAATTCTCATAGACCCCATTTTGGGTGGACGGTGCCTTTAACAACTACTATTCCGACACCGTTCTTGCTACTGCTTGTTCCCTTATACAAAAGCTTGGAGCGAGCCGTCGCCAATGTCTCGTGCCTTTTCTCTTTTCCACTTGGTTTTTTGTCGGCAAATGATGTCTGTTATACACCTTTTGAGGAAACACTTCGAACAATTTTTGGTGTCATTGTATTTCGGATTTTCTACATGTTCTTGCAGATTAATTGCATACCATAGCTTCTTATACCGTATGTACAAGCTTTCCAAAAACTGGACCATTAAATTTATTTCTAGAGGAGATATGCCTTTTTGAGCAGAGCGAGCGTTGATGGGAAAGATACTCGAAGAGAGGATGGCTGACCAGCAGATTGCGCGAGTTCTCGAAATTTTACAGAACAGCGCCTGGTTCACCTTACATCGTTCCCAGGGTATGAACAGCACCCAGGACTGTGGTAAGAGTAGTAGGTTGGCATTGCGAACACTCACAAAAATTGGAAGATTTCGCCAGCGCCTTTGTCGCAATATCCTTCAGCAAGCTTCAGAGCTGACTATCTCTGGCCGAACACTCTCCGACATTGTGAAACAGAACCTTGGGATAAAGCTTTTCAGGATGATAAAAAAGTCTTCGGGGAAGATATGAAGCTGAACCAACTGTGCAGATGCCATCGAGTGCTTGAACGTTTCTCCAAGGTGCGCCTTCTGAAGTCAAAATTTTCACCGTAAAGTGGTTCTTGATCGCCAAAACAGCAGAATCATCACATAATCGCTTCAAGAATCCAATACAAAGAGTGAACTCGCAGAAGGAAAGTCTGGCTTTTGTGACAATTTGCGCGGCGATCGCTTCTGACGGTAAGATGCTACGGATTTTTGTGTCTCAGAGCACCAAAGTAGACGCTGCTGCGCGTCTGTATAGCATCCTGAAGAAGGAGGTGTTGGCTGGCTCGGACCAGTACCCATTTTGCCGGGAGCGATTGGTGTTGCAGAAGGATTGCGCACTTGCGCACAAAGTGAATGTTTCAAGCACGTTAAAAACCTCATTGCTCCTGCGAAAGAAATGGCCTCTTTGTCGGATCTGAAACACTTCAACTACAGCGTGTGGTCTGATGGATTAGACTAATGCCTGCGCTCAATCATACAAGACGGTGATGTTCTGCGACGTGCTCTTCAAGATGCGTGGGAAGAAATCAACGTTGAGCACCTCTGTGCCACCATGGATAGCGTTCCCACTCGTTTGCGAGCTTGTGATCGCGGCAGAGGAAATTGTGAAGTCACTTTCACCAGCAGACAATTGAGTATACATTATTTTATGATTCATGCAAGCATCTTGCCTAGCTTCGCGATTACGATAAAAAATACCTTGTTCAAAGATTTCCTCCAACCCCTGTAGATATTTAGATATCTAGATTTGCGGAGTTCTGATTTTCCGAAATGTGCAAAGGCGTTTGCTCCAATATGTATACCAGCAATCCTTTCTTTGAGTACAAAATAAGGCAACACCCCTAATTACTCAACTTGACGATATTTTTTCGCTCCGCCCGCCTGTTGTCAGCAAAATTTTGTTCATATCTGTCGAAGCATTGCAGCGCCTGTTGGGAGTGTACTAGGATACAAAACGCTCGATAGAAAATAATTAGCAGTACTGCTTAGCCTACTGCGAGCTCAAGCATTCCTCACTGTTCTTGCAAAATAGCTACTGCAATCTTTCAATGCAATATTTGTGCATAAATCTTGCCAGGTTCCAAGCAGTTTTTGCTTCTACTCAGTTTGTGTTACCTCAAATTTTTAGCCCAACCTTGTCCACTTCACAACGTGATTGAGAGCGATCCAACTGAGGTGATTATATAATAGCCAGTGCGTCACCTCTGCTTCGCAGAGGCTCGCACTGGTTCTACTATTTAGGCCCTATCCATTCTCGCATAATGATGGCATTGGTACTTACCGAGCGATGCCGACTATCACGAACAAAATGTAAACAACTACTCATTCCGAAAGCTTTTTTATGTGAAATCGGTGATTTCGCGTGGATGAGACTTTTTGCTGGAAAACAAACGCAAATTTTTATGGGTTTTTGACTTTCTCACGTCCCGACACTTGCAGTAAGAACAACAGTTACTGTGAGCTACATCTTTGTGCAAAAATCTCGTCAAATGCTCTGGTAAAAACCTTGACAAATTGACCATTTACGCAACCAATACTTTTTGGCGCCGTTTTTGTAAAGTAATGGACTTTTGATCACTTTTTTGGGCCTAAGTTCATGGCCTGCACATTTACTTGGCATAAACATCCACGACTCTACAAAAAGTGGAATTACAGACCCAATTTTGCGGCCCAAATGCAAAGTGGATCCGTTTGACGCGCAGTTTTTGAGGGATCCACTCAACGAATCTGCTCGTGCTTTTGCATGTTGGACTTTCATGCGGGTAGTATGCGCTGTGCAAAATTTGAGCCCAGGAGGTTGGGTAGAACTCGCGCTATGAATTTCGTGACAGACAGATTTTCACACAGACACACAGACACACAAAAAAACAGACGGCCTTAGCGCGTTATTATTTGTATAATAATGTGTCACCTGACCTTCGTAGTGGAGGCTCGACTGGTTAACTGACACTTCGCCTTTCTCATGGTTTAATAATGATGGCTTGAAACTATCTCGCGAAGCTCGGTATCACAAATTGTTTGAAAACTACTGAGTGGTTTGGGAACTACTACTCCCAAATTTCGTTTTCAATGTTGATATTTTTTGTAAAAATGAAACTTTTCGCAGAAAACTGAATGCTAATTTGTACTTGTTTCTGAATTTATTATGACTTGATAGACGCCAAATTGGACAATGACTTCAGTCAAACACATCTCTGCGCAAAAACCTCCTTTTTAAAATGGAGGCTTACATCGATAATATACTCTATCAAACTTTTGGCGTTCTTTTTACAAAAAATAAACTGTTCAATTGTTGATCAAAGTCGACATCTTCACCATTTGTACGCTTAACAAATTCGAAAATCGCGAAGAATTCAACTAAGTGCTAAGTTTTGTGATTATAAAGCCGTATGGTTCCGTTTTACGCTCATCGGGAGATATACGCAGCGGATTCTCTCGATGTGGTGCACCTGCATGCTGACAACGTGTGATGTGCAAGTTTTGAGCTCAAAAACTCTTTCTGGTACTTGCTTTACAAATTTTGTGACCGACAAACAGACAGAACACACCAAACACAACACACACACCACGCACACACTACACACACTACACACAAACACACACAACACACACAAATGAACGACTCTTTGTCCGTTATTACAATAACCAGTGCGTCACCTCTGCTTCGCAGAGGCTCACACTGGTCTCACTATCTGTATGTCTTAGTCATTCCCGCATTAATGACAGTGGAACTCACTGCGCTATGCAGACTATCTTATATGATTCGTAAACAATTACTCATTTCTGAAACTTTTTCATGTGAGAGTATTTTCCGTGGATAGAACTTTTCCCAGAACAAATGAACAAATGTAAATTTGAATCGGTCTTCGGACTTTTCATGGCTTGGTAGTTGCCTTGAGGACAATGGTTACCCTGGGTCACATCTTTGTGCAAAATTTGTTCACTTTTTTGGGCTTAAGTCCATGGCTTGCACCTTAGCTTGTCAAACATATCCATGACTTTGCAAAAAGTGCTCCTACATGCACAGTTTTGCTAGCCAGAAGTTAAATGGATTCGTTTGAAACGCAATTATAAAGGATCCACTCAAGGGATCCGCTCGTGCTTTTGCATAGTGGACTTTCATGCTGGTAGCATACGCCATGCAAAATTTGGGCCCAGGACATTGGCTGAAACACGCTCTACGAATTTCGTAACGGACAGACACACAGACAGACAAAAAGGCGTAAATAACCCTTAGCCCGTTATTATAAGTCATGATGATTTCAGTTAATGCCGCACGGTTACGTCGCTTCCCTCAATGACTATATAGATAACAAGGAATTCGAATCACTTCGCACAATGGTAAGCTTCAACCTTTGTGAAATAATGCATATTATCGAGTTTATTCAAGCATATTTGAGTTGATAACAGCTCAGTACGCACGGGATATCGCCCCTTACACAACTGTTGCTATTCCTGCTCTGCGTCTGTAACCTGTGGCAGGTTTGGTTGGCCACGGCGCTTAGCCAAATGGTTTGCCAACATGTTAGCTGTACGTCAGAGACGCTGAGAAAGGCGTGGCAACAATTGCGCAAGGAACGACGCCTCCAAATAGTACACTCGCTGTTCCTTCACCCTTTCGCTTTCAACAAATCCTGTAAAGCCAGAGTAAGCTTTTGTTTTAGGCGTTAACTTGCGACCAAACGTCTCAATGAGTAAAAAGTACCTTTGCATTACTAAATGTAATGGAGTCTTAGAAAGTAAAAAAAATGGTTTTCCTCTTTTGTAACCGTAGGAATTCAGTAATAGAGCGAATGTTATAGTGGGATAAGACGTCGTTATGATCAGATTGCACCCGGGATCGATCCTGACACTGGAAATTAAGTCCCCCGCCTTTGGAGCCGGTAAACTGTTATCAGAATAATCTGGGTAGACAAAAGCGCTGGCTTGGTAATCGGCTCGCCTCAAGTCATTATAAAAGGCTCGCACCATTCAGTAACCTCTCTAAATAAGAAGTAGAGTGCATCCGGCGCATGCTCGCAAAAAGTATTCAGAATGTCAAATCTTTATTTTTTTTCTATATAACTTAAAAACACCAAAAAACTAAGGTTTGAGGTATGGTTGTTCAGTGAGACATTAACTACGCGATTGTATAATGCTGTGAGGGTCATTTATTTTATTCCTAAACAACGGACCGGAACCATTCATTGCGCCAATTCGGTACCGTCCGGACTCTCTACAGCAGCGGCACGGAACTCGAGCCTTGGATCCTACCGAACCTTGTCATCAGAAGTCCTGAAAGCCAATCCTGGCATGCTGTAGCCAGCCCTAATTGAGCTCTAGATCCCAATTATGCCTCCGAACCCCACCCAACTAGTTCTAGACACTGAATCCCCACTCAAAAATAGTTTTTTTTTGGAAAGACAAAACACTACCAAAATCATACTATTTATTCATAGTATAGAACAACAAACACAAAAAGTAACTATGCGTTGCAGCCATTGGAAACTCTCAAATATTTCGTTTGTGCTTCTTCAGTTGGTTGCAATTTTCAAAATTTCAATCAAATTAAAAATCAGTTTTCAAATCTTTTTTCATTGTAAAACAGTTCGCAAGCTCTTTTAAATGTATTTCAGTCATTTGTTCCTAGTAGGTTTGCCCAAATTGATTTTTCATTGTAAGTATGAGGTTCTCTCATTAGTTCAGAAAAAAAGTCAGCTTATCCAGAAATATTATTATCATTGCTGAAATGACCAACACGATATCTCTTTTATCGGAAAAGTAAGTTTTGAAACCCTAATCATAGCAAAAACAGATCATTGCGACAGACTTCAAAACAAGCCTTATAGGCAAATTTTGTTCTAAGCAAATTAATTTCAATAGCTTGTGTACATCAATACATTTGGTAACGTTTCGCACAATCAGATATTACTCGTTTTGCAAATATGCGATCATATCACACAAACTTTTTCTGACTTCAGGGAAAGGAAAATCACATTGCACTTATATTTTTTCGAAACTGCTTTAAATAACAAAATTCTTTTGTTTACTTTTAAAAACTGTTACCTTCAGTATAAATTGATCTGTAACTCAATCGAAATTGCGTGTGAACTAGTCGAAGTTGTGAGGTCACTCAGACAAATCATGCCTTAGGTGTTCTAGTTTGATTTCACACTTCAAAGTTGGATATCCAAGAGTCACTTGGTTATTCATAGGTAGATCAGCAAATCTCTTGAAAAAAAAGAAAGAAAAAGAAATCAAAACAATTCTGTAAATAGTCAAGCTTCACCCCAGCTTGCAACAAGCTTGCTCACTATCAGAAGTTGCTTACACTTGACTAGGGAACATGGCCAAGAACCAGTGCTAGAGCTGTACTGCAAAGAACTCGTCCATCTTGCGATAGGCGGGGCTAATGATGCGCACCTTATTGACACACGCCTGCCTAAGCGCGCGCTATCGTTCATAAAGTCCGCCACCCCAAAAACACCATTAACATGAGAAAATCCCCAATTTCCCTTCCGCCCTCGAACTTGTGGTTATGTTGCAATTATAAAATACAATCTCTAAAGTTACATTCAAGGTGCGAACGCATCAATGACGTATAAGCCACGAAATCCCCATTTGGACATAAAGCCCTTTATCGTGGCTCGGGGCGACGTCATCCCTCGATTTGGTGGGGCATGAGGCCGCCCCGAAGCCCGATAAAGGGCTTTATGTCCGAACTAACTGGCAAACCCGGCTCCGCCCGGCCCTGTCAATAATATATTCGTAATCAGCATGCTCACTTACCTCCCCCCCTTTGCCAACTCCCAGTTCCGTAGCTCGAACTTTTTGAAAAATCGATAAAATCGATATCGATCGATGACGGAAAGTAGCCTATGACACCCGCCCGGCCCCGAAGTGTACGTGACCCAAGTTTGGTCCGGATTGGCTCAGAAATGGAATTTTCTATTTGGAACATACGTACATACAGACAGACATACATACATACAAACAGACATTCAGCTTTATATATAAGATGGGGATATGCTAAAACAACCAGGGCAGCGATCAAACCTTTCTCCGAACGACCCCGCCCCTCGGAATTGCACAACATAAACAAAAATATTGAAACAATATAAAAAACGGCCTTCCATGGCCTTTCTCGTAATTTTCGGCCGGCGCCGTGCAGTTACACAGTAGTTGGCGCGGCTGCATCGACGTGGCCCCAGCCGACACCGAATCCATGCAGCGACGACGAAACCTGGAAAAAAGAAAAAAATGGGCAAGGTTCTAGACTGGCTGATAGAGCTTTTTTAGCCCTATCAGCCAATAAGAGCTTGCCCTGAAATTTATGCCTCTCGCTAGAAGACATCCGAAACCCCCTTTTGCCTCGAGAACCTCATTTTGTCTTCTACAGACCTTGTCCATCGAACAAATGAAGAATTTCTCGAGAACTTCATGCTCAATCAAAGAATATCATCCAGCTCTTTTTATTAGCTCAATCCCTTTCTCTTCAAACTTGTTTTATAGCGGTTTTGGATTGTTTGAAACTCCAGAGATTAAGTTTAGACATCTTCTACAGATAAAAGACTTTAAACGATGATACTGACTAGTGAAAAGAACAGCTAATGCTTTCACGAGGCGACATACACTTGAAAATTTCTTTACTCTACAATAGACAGCCAATAGACATGCACTCGAAAGTTCCTCTACAACAGATAGCGAGCCGAATACTAAAAGTGATGGTTTGAAAGTGCATCCGCACGAAAATCTGAAACCTGAAACCTGAAAAAGAAGGAGCTTTAAGCAACATAGCCGATGAGCGACAGAAAATACGGAGAAGAACGCGAGAAAAACGATTTGAGCAAGTTGAAAACGAGAGCAGCTTATTTTCAGAAATGCATAAACTGATACCAGCGTAACGAATTAGCTGCGTACTATGATTGCTCCGGAGCTTCTGGAGGCCTAGAAATCCCAACTGAATTCGCAAATTTCTGGCACCTCCGTGCCCCGGAGCACGGAGGTGTCAGAAATCCACGGCCTGCCCCGCGCAGCAGCTCCAATGGTTAAGAGCGTGCGCAGGAACTGCCAGAGATTGCGCTATTCACTATACTTTGGTATATACGAGAATTTTTTCGAATAATCGAACAACCGAGTATATTCGAAAATCAAAAATATCGAATAATCGAATTTCGAATATTTTCAAAAACAAGAAATGTCGAATATTCGAATATCGGATATTCTCGATAAACAAAACTGCCGATTAGTCGAATATCGAATATTTTCGTAATGAAAAAAATTCGAATAGTCGAATACATTTGAGAAAAAAATTCGAGTAGAATATTTTGCATCGATATGTCGAATACTCGAACAAGTTTTGATCGAATTAGCACAGTAAGGACTTCATGAAGTGGGCAACTTGGACAGCAAACGATGGTTGCTGATACAGCAGTCGAAACTGTGACGCTGTCATGTAGTTAATTGATTACACGAAATTGTCGAATAATCGAATAACTTCTGAAAATAAGTATTTGAATATTCGAATATTCTCGAAAATCAAAATTTTCGAATAACCAATAATCGAATAAATTCGAATTTGACAAATTTCAAATAAGCGAATATGGAATATATTCGAGATTTTGAAATTTTCGAATAATCGAATTTCGAATAAAATTTATTCGAATTATTTGATTACTCGAAAATTTACTCGATTCGGTCCAAAGTATACTGTTCACCGGAAGTTTTTTGCGATTGTATGAGTTAGACCTGGGTTGATAGATATTTCCAGTTTAAAATATTTCCAGAAGTGGAGCACCCACTTCTGGAAATAATTCACCCTTTCTCAGCAATTCTATGTGAACAAATTTTCTTTTCTTACAAAGGAAGGATAACAGGTAGCAGCGGCGAACCGAAATGGTATGCATATCGTTGGATGCGTCTTGATGATCTGATTCCAACCTATGGACTGCTGCATGACGATGGCGCAATACTGGGAGCCAACGCAGTTTCATTAGCCGCAGAATGAGGCGCAGGATTTACAACGATACGCGCGCGCAGCGTTCGCGCTCGCTCAACTAATACTGCTTCTGCGCTTTCGTCATGCAGCAACCATTAGCTTCCATACCTGGTAAGCTCTTTTCTAGGAGAAGCAATGAGCGTTAGCATGTCTAAATTTGGCAAACATTCAATGCCACATCTTCAAGAATTACTGTTCAAAAGCACTTATCTTTGTGTTCGATGTACTATGCATTCCTTGTGGTCGATACACTCAGAACCATGCCAATTAATCACTCCCAAGCTGGTTTTCAAGGTACATAACGCATCAAAACGTCAATAAACTCACATCTTTAGCCACCCATAGCTTCTTCTAGAGAAGGGCT